ACAGTCATGTCAGCAAAACTGTAAAAATAGATATAGCTTTAGTCAAGTCAAGTCACCTTCAATATATAGCACTTTCAACCATATGGATTGTTTACACAGTTAATGTTGGTAAGTTTTTTTTTTCATTCAACATGCATTTTGTTTATATCTAATGTCAATCCGCTTTGTTAAGTAAGGGATACTATTTCTGGGTCCAAGCCTCTTAACTCATTTCCATTGAGAATACTATCTCAACAGCCATTTATGAGCACTGTTTATTCATATCACACATAAGCTAAGCTTTTTAAAAGTTATGGTGTTTAATACAGTCTCCGGATACAGTATAATAATACTGTTAATAATTTATTGAAGGTGAATTACTCTCTGGCCATCTGAGATTTCGTTATGAAGATAAAGGTTAGGAGGATCATTATTTTTTTGGTAGTATTACAGCACACCATCAGTGTATAATAGCACCATTTGTTGTTTGTTGAACGCAATCGAGCCTCACTTTGACAAAGATTTTGCTTCTTTTTTTTTTTTTTAAGGAAATGATGGACAAGATAAAATAAAATTGTGCCAACATTATGCCACGAGTTCTGTCGATTGAAAGTTCAAAATTAGTTCAACATTTCTCAGAGAATTCCTAAAGGTAATATAAAAAATAAAATACACAAGCTAAATGCTGAACTTTTATTTAATACATTAAAGAAGTAAATAGAAATAGAGGTTGAGATTTGGTAGCTGTGGGATGGCAGGTGAATTGTCAGTGTATTAAGTGGCCATTGATTTCCTTTTTGTTGTGAATGACATTAGATGAACAACCCAATCTCATAAGAAAACATAAGTATTTTACGAATTGGCTATTGCGTATGAATTTAAATGATCTGATTCGTACGAAATTGTATTATTTTATGAAAAAAGTAAGCAGGTTCACTCTAGGTCCATCCCTAAGCCTAACTGTCAGTGTGGTGTAAGCAGATTGTACAAAAATGTACAAATAAAACAAATTTGCCACCAAGTCACCAAAATGTAAAATAGTTACGGATTGTACAACTGTGTTGGCTCCTCCCATATTTCGCTTAGAACACCATTCTCTTCACAGATCTTATTTAAACAAACACACCCACTCTCCCTCACTCTCTCTTTCTCTCTGTAGGTGTGTTAATAACACATTTAGTGGTATGGAGCCGAGGGAAATGTGGAGTAATCAGCAGTTATGTTAGTGTGCAGAGAGCAGACTGAGGCTCTAATGGGGCTTAACTCTCGTAGTCACAAATGCTCTGGAACGCTAAATCGCTCACACACTCCCTTTCTCTCTCCACCTACCCACCCCCCAACACACCCACCCATCATACGCCTACAATTTACTCATCCATCACCATCAGCTCTCTCTCCCCTCTCCCTCCATCTTCTGCTTCTCTGTGTACCATCTCCTGTTTTCTCTTCCTTTCCTGGCCCCTCTACATTTCTCTTTTGTCTTCTCAGGCCCTCCTCCTCTTCACTCAATCAATCTCTCTCTTTCTCTTCACCAACAAAATATCTGTTTTTATGAAAATATGGTTTCTATTAAATACATTAAATGAAAGCAAGGATGTGTGTGTGTGTGTGTGTGTGTGTGTGTGTGTGTGTGTGTGTGTGTGTGTGTGTGTTGCATAAATGTGTGCTTAAGTGAGCTTCTTTACATTTCTGGTGACATTCACACAATTGTAATCAAGCTATTCAAGTTACAATAACAAATAAATACACATTAACCCCACAAGCTTATACAGGTCTGATCATATCTTTGCAGTGAGCCATGTAGTACAGAGACAGGTTATCTTATCGTATCACATCTAGCTATCAAGCTGAAAGGACAAAACTGATGTACGGACAATTCACAACGGTTTAAACTTGATATCTAGACCTTGTTTGTTTAACTGTTTCTTTGTTAGCCTTTAATAGGACCGAGGCAATGGTGCCACTGGTTCCTCCAGAGTTGCTCCACACAATCATATTTGTCAAAATATAATGGTGTGCTTGCCATGTTGGAAAGATTGTATTTATGAGTTTAACACACATAAACGACACCACAAAATTACAAGTGTGAAGTTGGATGGAATAGATCCAGCGTCTGTATTAATGGTAAATTTGTTAAAACTCTCTTAGAAGAAAACAATCACAGCCCTATGTTTGTACAGTGGCTAAATTAACAAGTAAAGCTTCAACTTCTGACATTTCCAAACAGCACAGCAGTAATGACTTTATGAACTTCTTTAGTTTAGTTTAATTTATTAATTTAAAAAGCACATTTAAGAACAATAGATGTTGAAACCAAAGTGCTGTGCAACAAATAAAGAACAAACGGTAACACTTTACTTTAAGGGCTGTGCATGACACCTTCATAATCATGACATGACACGATGTCATGAATATGAAGGAGGTTTTATGCATGTTTATGACAACTGTCATTAAGTGTCATTTGCTCAATTATGACATTTTTTTATGCAAATATGACATTGTTTGAGATGTCTTTGTTATGACACCATGACATAAACCAATACATCATAACCTGTCAGTGTCTTTATCATGACAACTTGACATTACTAAAACAACACAACCTGTCATAAATATGTCATAAACATGACATAGCAGATTAATTATCACACTTAAGAAACCACTTAGCTTTATGGGTTAACATTACATTAAACTGTCAGGTGGTTGGTTTTGACATTGGCTGTCATGAGGCCATTATAACATTTTAGGGTCAAGAAAAATATGTTGAGGTCAAGAAAAATATTCATGACAGTTATAATGGCCTCATGACAGCCAATGTCAAAACCAACCACATGACAGTTTAATGTAATGTTAACCCATAAAGCTAAGTGGTTTCTTAAGTTTGATAATTAATCTGCTATGTCATGTTTATGACAATTTATGTTGTCTTGGTAATTCTCGTAAGTTTGTGGTCAAGTTGTCATTGACTGTCACTGACAGGTTATGATGTATTGGTTTATGTCAAGTTGCCATAACAAAGACATCTCAAACACTGTCATATTTGCATTAAAAATGTCATAATTGAGAGAATGACACTTAATGACAGTTGTCATAAACATGTATAAAACCTCCTTCATATTCATGACATGTCACAGTCTTATGCACACCCCTTCAAGTAAAGTGTAAGCGAACAAACTTAAAACATAAAACATCTGAACAACCAACTGGACAAATGAAAATACACCCTCAAACAGAATTAAAACATAAATAATAAAAATACGTCTTCTAGGAGGATTTAAACATAGAAATAGAAGGGGAAGATCTTATGTGATAAGGAAGACAATTCCAGAGCATACATTACAGTTTCAAGAAAGCATCCTCTTAGTTCTGGCAATTGATCTTTACTGGAAGAAACTACTTTTCACAACAGCACTGATCTGCTTATCAAACGACAATGTAGGATCAAAAATAACACCAAGGTTTTTATAGCACATGTTAGAAGAAAAGGGACCAAGTTGATTAGCCATGATGGGCCAAAAATTATTATTTCAGTTTCATCACTATTTAACTGTAAAAAAGATTGTTGTTAATCCAGCCTTTAATGTCTTGAAGACAGTCAAACTGTCAGGATACAGGCACGGAAACAGAGGTAAGTGGATCCAAACACAGTTTTATTTAAAGTGACACACGTGCAAAGGTGAGTTTTCAAAGTTCAGGTGCAGATTCGGTGAGAAGCACAACGTGCGGGGCAGATTCCAGGTGAGCAGATCCTCTTCAGTTTTTCCAATGTCAAACTAACACAGTTCAGTGATACTTGTCTTTTCTCTTTCAGATACATCCACCAGCAAGCGTGACTCAGGAGGAACACAAGGAACCAGGAAACTTGGATTCAGAAGCAGATACTGGGAACGTCAGAACATGGACACAGAGGTTAGTATATTTCAGGTGAGTATACGTTACTTGACTGGTACAGGATGAGTAAGAGACTTGAGACAATGGTAAGCGTCTGTTCCTGTTGGAGGTTTGACACTGAACTGGGGCTATGGTGAGTGTTTTATAGTGCTTGTTGATGAGGCTGTTGATGGTGAACAGGTGTGTGTGATTAGTAATCCGGAGAGAGTGATCGTTGTATGGTGGATGGAATCAAGCTTGATTGATCTTTGACACAAACATATTAAACAGATAAAATGTGTTATTTATAACTGGAAGATAAGATAACTTGCAAGATTGATAATATTAGAGAGAAAATTATAGCCATGCAACCGTCTACTACAGTATTGCATCAGACAGTGCATTGTAGAGTCCCTGAAGAAAAATTCCATTCATTCGTTGCTGAGAGGAAGAATTGTCTAAACTCGTTAAATCATCTAAATCAACAACATGTATGTGTCACAGTCTTCGTCTGCACTGTTCTGTCTTGTTTGCACTACACCTCCCAGAATCCCTCTTGTCTCCACACCTGAACTCACTCCCTCACTTACCAGCCTGTTCATCGTTATCTTCATCAGTGTCACCTGTCTTCACCTTGTTATGTTTGATTCATGCTTGTATTTAGTTTGCTTCTGTTCAGCCTGTCCTTGTCTTTGTCAGGGGTTCCCAAACTTTTCCATGACAAGGCCCCCCAAATACCACTAGGTTCTGGCCAAGGCCCCCCTTTTGCATGATGCATTATTGAACCCACCGACAATACTACGGCAAATGTATAAATAAATAAAACATCTAGGTGAACATCCATTGACCTTTATTGGTGTTGTAATAATAACATTTGTATGTCAGATCTTCATATATGGTAATTTCAACATCTTCAAATCTGGTACAGTAATTTCAACATTGTATCTGTGTGTGTCAGTGAATGGAAAAAGAGAGAGAGTGTGTGTGTGTGTGTGTGTGTGTGTGTGAGAGAGAGCATATCAATGGGAGGGCTGGGCCTGGTTGCAGCATTCAACACTGTGTGTGTGTGTGTGTGAGAGAGAGAGAGAAAAGAAGAAGAGAGAGCATATCAATGGGAAGGCTAGGCCTGGTGGCAACATTCAACAACAGTGTGTGTGTGCATGCATGTGAGAGAGTGTGAGTGTGTGAGAGAGAGAGCATATTAATGGGATGGGTGGGCCTGGTGGCTCCTACACAGTTTGTCAAGCCTGGGCTTTATGTCTGTCAGTGCAACACGCATGTCACTCTCCACATTTAGACGTGCTCTGTGTTTTGTTTTAAGTACTTTTAAAGTTGAAAAGCCAGACTCACACAAATAAGTGGTTGCAAAAGGAAGAAGGCATTTCAGAGCACTCTCAGCTAGGATGGGAAAGTAATTTCTTACATGCATCCAGTAGTTAGAGAGGGAAAGAGATTCAAATTTCATTTTTAAATCCCATGAAGTAGTCATCTCAATCAGCTCCTCCTGTGATTTTTAGTCCAGACAAGAGCGTACATCAGGGGCAAATGGGTTCCTTACCCAGTTTAGATGGGTGCTGTCAAGGTCAGGGAAATAGTCTCTGAAATATCCCTGGAGGTGCTCCAGGTGGGATTGAATCAGTGGAGAAATGGTGTCCAACTCAGCACCAGATGACAGCAGCTCTTGGTGTAATAGTGGGAACATTTCTGTAATTCCCTCCTTGAGCTTGTTTGACCACAGCGTAATCTTCAGGGAAAAAGCACGTACTTTGTCTTGCATATGCACTATGTATGTGTCACGCCCTTGCATGCTTTGGTTAAGCACATTCAGATGACAAAAAATGTCAGCCATATATGCAAGTTTAAGAATCCAGGCTGCATTTGTAAAACGGTCAGCCAGCTGATGTTTCTCAGACAAGAGAAATTCTGCAACCTCCCTCCGCAACTCATATACACGGTTCAAAACTGCCCCCCTTGAAAGCCAGCGTACGTTTGAGTGTAGCAGCAATCCATCAAAACGGGCTCCCATTTCTTTACATAGAAGAGCAAACAGTCTGTGTTTCAAGGGGCGGGCTTTAATAAAGTTTACTACGTGTATTATGTCCTGTAGTACCTGATTAAGCTCATCATCCAACCGTTTTGCCACCAGTGCTTCTCGATGGAGCATACAGGACGCCGCATTCGGGGCCTTCTGTTTGATGAGAGCCGTCACCCCACTGTTCTTCCCAGTCATAGCCGCGGCCCCGTCAGAACACACACCCACGCAACGAGACCAGTCAAGTCCATTTGAATCAATATATTCGTCCAGCACTTGAAAAATCTCTTTCCCGGTGGTTCTACTTTCAAGTGCTTTACAAAATAGTATTTCCTCAACGAACATTTCTTGGGAAATTAATCTGATGTACACAAGCAAATCGGCCGCGTTAGCCACATCCGTACTCTCATCTAGCTGCAGTGCAAAATATTCGCTAGCTCTCACCTGGTCCAACAGTTGAGCAGACACATCCTCAGCCATATCTCCAATACGTCTGCTCACAGTGTTATCAGAGAGTGGTACCGCGTCAATTTTCTTGGCAGCATCCTCACCCAGTAGCTCTTTAACAATGTCTTTGGTCGCTGGTAGTATCAAATCCTCCCCAATTGACCGTTCGCAGGCCCCTCCCACAAAACGGCCATTGTCCAATCACACATCATAGCAACCGTTACTATGTGAGCAGGTCCGTCAAACATTGACTCCAAGCAAGATGGTGAAGCGGTGCGCCTACGGCGTTTGTAAATCGGACACTAGGTACCCCGAGAGATTGTCTGGAGGAGTTGTGTTCTTTCCGTTTCCAAAGCCAAAAACACAACGTGAGCGGTGCCTACAATGGATAAAACAGTGTGGACGGCCCCACTCCCAGTTACATGTGTCGAACATGCTTAACTCGCGTGCAGCGTGCGTGAGACTGAGACACTGAGATTAGTCAAAGAAACATGGAGAAAGCAGATCAAGAGGATCCACAAAGGAATTACGTTTTCTGAAGGGTTGTTGTTAACATGATATTCTCAGGGGAAAATGAGCAGCAGTGCAGCACCCGTAGACTAACGTTACAGTGCACGTTCGCAACGGGGAAAGCATGCTCACTTAACAACATCAGTTCATATATCAATATCGTAACGAATAGAAATAACCTTAAATAATATAACGTTCTGGTTATCTGCATCTTTCCGTCTCTTATGTTTAGTTACTTTTTAAACACGAAAATGGCGTTCAGCATGACACGCAAGCGGTTGCCGTGGTAATGAACAACCTGCTTGTTAAAGCGAATAATCCTGTATTTGAGGCAAAATTACTAAATATGCAGCGCGAGTTATATATTTCTAACTCCAAACATGAGCCACTGAACCAGTTTATAAAATCTTCTTCAAGGCTGTGCTGGTTGAATTTGAGGTAACAGGTCATGGGGTTTCTCAGATTTAGCTTGAGACCGGTATACGCATTCGCCTCGATAGTAGTCGTGTCTCCTTCATTGCGTATTTTTATATTTTGAATATATCCCTCCACTGCACACTGTAACCCCTTTTGCCTCGATCTGGAGGATATCGCTGAGCAACATGGTATTGCTCCAAAAAAGGTCACTGACACGCACGGGTATACCTCTTCCCGTCATGGCAATCTGTCGCGCTGGTCGTGTTTGACCATTTGTTTGACGGGCGTAGCAACAATAACTAGGGGGCGTGGCTTTTGCGAACGGTCAATTGTGTGCGGCTTTTTAGCTCGCGCAATGTGAAAGGAAGCCAAAAACGATGCCCTCAATGCTCTCTCAGGGACAGTAGCTTGCCGCACGAATGTTGCTGACTGGCTGGTCAAATGTTCTTCCTTTCTTTTAAAAAAGTCGATTGGTTTTTCGGCCTCTGCTGGATGCTTCTGGTTCAGGTGACGTTGAAGTTTTGATGGTTTTAAGCATTCGTTGGAGAGGATCTCGAAGCAGAGAACGCATTTGGGGCACTCATGTCCATTCTTCTGCGTGACGCAGGTAAATCCATACTTTATGTATGCTGCATCATACCTACGAGTCTTACTCGGCCAGGAGTTCGTTTTCTGTTTTTTTTTTATCTGAGGTTTCGATAGCTGGCTCGTCTGATTTTTTCCTTTTAAAAATCTATCCATTTTGATAGAACTAGCCAGTTAACTAAATAAATAGCTGAATAGCTGAATAGCTGAGCACTGGTGGTTGTTACCAAGGCTACACTAACAGATTACGTGACAGTGTACCAGCCAATCAGAAAGATTAGCATTAAAAGTTTATTGTTCAGATATTCGACAAATTATTATAATACTATTTCATAACAATACTCATAATACTATAAATATTTATATATATTTTTTAATAATGGTAAAATATTAATAAAATTTATAAAAAAAAAATTTTGCTTTAATTTTTTCTTCCAACTTGCTGCGTCCCCCCTGGCGCCCCCTGGCGGCCCCCACTTTGAAAACCACTGGTCTATGTTACCTGAGTGTATTCCCTGCCTGCATCTGTTTATTGTTTTGTTTAGAAATAAGTGTGATTGTTTCTGGAAATCCTCGTCTCCTTGTGTTTCCTGCCATACACACACCGTGACAGTATGTTAGACCCTATACCGACTAAGCTACTGAAAGAGATGCTTCCAGATGTCATAGATCCTGTTCTTAATAATTATCAATTAATTGTACCTAATACTTTTAAGCTGCCTATTATTAAAAGGTACAATATGTAAGAATTTTGTAATAAAATATCCAAAAATCACTTGCACAGTGTGATATATTTCCTGCAGTTGTGTACTTACAATATCCCAAAAGTCTCCAAAGATTTTTTATTTCAGAGAAATTCCAATTTTAAATAAGTGGCCGTCCCGGAAAAAAATGTCGCCTGTCAATGACGCAATATCCGCGCTATCCTCGGTTTCCGTTAATACTGCCATAGCCGTGACGTAACCATGGCGACAGACATGGACAACTGCGTAGTGCGTAACGTTTAGCGGCATGCAGTTCTTGTTTCTTTCAAACATAGACCATGGCAAGCAGACTTTGGGACAAACAAGGATAACTAAAATGAGGATCAATATCAGCGTGGCGTTTTTGAGATGCCGAGAGCTCCACGTCCGCGACTAACTTGGACTTGACAGAGCTTCACGAGTCACGACTTGACAGCTTTATTAGACAGGTGAGCAAATGTACATAAAACAAATCAATGTTATATAACGTTAGCTCAACATGATGAAATGTTAGAATATGGTCAGTATGTTATAATGTAGATATAGCTTACTGCTAGTTTCGTATAGCAAACAAACTAACATGTAGTATAACATTATAACTTTCAACACACATTTAAATGCCGTTTAGTGTGATAGTGTAACATTAGTCCAAGTGAAGCAGCGCTGCGTTACCTCACAAGTTTAATTCGTCTAATAAACTGACCTGTGTGAGTAATCCAGCACTACCGGTAGTTCGGTAGAATTAAATGTCCTTATTCCTTTATATCCGCGGGACTCGCGTGTGAGCTGTCGGACCCTCGGGCGGCCATGGCGGTGAGGACCCTTCGGGCGGCCATGGCGGTGTGTTATTCTTCCAGGCCTCCGAAGGCGTATAGGCTCAGGAACAGACACTGGCTCCGGCTCAGGAACAGACACTGGCTCCGGCTCAGGAACAGACGACACTGGCTCCGGCTCAGGAACAGCAGACACTGGCTCCGGCTCAGGAACAGCAGACACTGGCTCCGGCTCAGGAACAGCAGACACTGGCTCCGGCTCAGGAACAGCAGACACTGGCTCCGGCTCAGGAACAGCAGACACTGGCTCCGGCTCAGGAACAGCAGACACTGGCTCCGGCTCAGGAACAGCAGACACTGGCTCCGGCTCAGGAACAGCAGACACTGGCTCCGGCTCAGGAACAGCAGACACTGGCTCCGGCTCAGGAACAGCAGACACTGGCTCCGGCTCAGGAACAGCAGACACTGGCTCCGGCTCAGGAACAGCAGACACTGGCTCCGGCTCAGGAACAGCAGACACTGGCTCCTGCTCAGGAACAGCAGGCGATGGGCTCAGGCTCTGGCGGGCAGGCGATGGGCTCAGGCTCTGGCGGGCAGGCGGGCAGGCGATGGGCTCAGGCTCTGGCGGGCAGGCGATGGGCTCAGGCTCTGGCGGGCAGGCGATGGGCTCAGGCTCTGGCGGGCAGGCGATGGGCTCAGGCTCTGGCGGGAAGGCGATGGGCTCAGGCTCTGGCGGGAAGGCGAGGGGCTCAGGCTCTGGCGGGCAGGCGATGGGCTCAGGCTCTGGCGGGCAGGCGATGGGCTCAGGCTCTGGCGGGCAGGCGATGGGCTCAGGCTCTGGTGGGCTCGATCACCTCCCCTAATGTGACCGCCCCGGGTTCCCCTAAACCTAGCCAACCGAGTTCCCACGAACCGTTGACTTTTTTTTTTTTTTAAGGTTGATCGTTCTATCAGGTTGTTGCAGGATACCAAAGATGAGGACACGGGCACTGCAGTATAGTTGCTTTAATTACAAACTAAACTTAACAGAAACAAATGAAAACTCCAGGAACTCAGATCACACAACCATACAAAGACGACAATCAACAAACACTGAGTGAAAACACAGGGCTTAAATATACAGGGACTGATGGGATAATGAACTGAACACAGGTGACGGGAATAACTAATTAGACAGAGCGGGAAAACTAACAGGACTGAACCAAAATCACAAAAGACAGGGGGAAACAGGAACGCAAAACTGAACTAAACACATAGTAAACGTGACAGTATCACAGTACTGAGACTGCTCTCATTAGAGTTACAAATTATTTGCTCTTATCATCCGATCGTGGTTGTATCTCTCTATTAGTGTTACTGGATCTTAGTGCTGCATTTGATACTATCGGCCACAACACTCTTTTGAATAGACTCGAAAATTATGTTGGCATTAGTGGAATTGCATTAGCATGGTTGAAATCATACTTATCTGACTGTTAGGGTTAGCCAATTTGTTGCAGTAAATGTCATACCGATCACAAGTTCAGCAAGGCTCAGTACTAGGAATGTTGCTTTTCTCCCTGTGCATGCTACCATTGGGAGGAATTCCCTTCATTAGGAAGCATGGCATTAGTTTTCACTGTTATGCTGATGATACTCAGCTCTATATTTCTTCGTGCCCTGATGAAACTGACCAATTCACAAAATGAATTGAATGCATAGCTGATATAAAAAATGTAATGACTAGTAATTTCCTACTACTTAATTCTGAAAAAGAGTTTCTAATTATTGGAACAAAATCATATTGGACCACATAATAACCCAGAATACTGTCTAACATTTGATGGCTGCTCTGTCAAGTCGTCTTGATGGCTGCTCTTTGTCGTCAGTTAGGAACCTGGATGTGCTCTTTGATACCAACCTTTCATTTGAAATCCACATTTCTAGCAACTGTAAAACCGCATTCTATCTTAAAAATATATCTAAATTACAACATATGCTCTCAATTACAAATGCGGAACAGTTAGTTAATGCGTTCATGACCTCAAGTCTAGATTATTGTATTAATCTAGTAGTGGTTGCCCTGCACGCTTAATAAACAAACTCCAGCTGGTCCAAAACGCAGCAGCTACAGTTCTTACTTAAACC